AAAAAATTAAAAAATCATATTTTAAAATTCCATATTTAAATAGTTTGTTCATGAAATTACCAACACATGATATTTTGAGTCAGATATGGTCTTATTTGTCGATTTGTATATTTCAGAACCCTGATAAAATCTATACGTTAAGTAAAAAAGTATTTTCCAGGTTATTTTCTCATGGCAATTATGGTATATAACCATATGAGGACCACGCTTTCATTAGAACAAGAATTTTTATGACAGACTTTAGGTCAAAAATATTAATAAAAATGCATACAAATTCAAAGTGAGCTTAAATCGTTAAAAGAAAGAAACATCAAAGTACTTTTTGTTGTTTTATAGAAAAAAATATCACCCAAAATTATACTATTCGAAAATATATCCAAATGCCGACAATATGGTTRAACCCTTAATATATATATATTATAGCAATATATACTAAACTATTATTAACCTAGAAACGACAGAGAAGTTTTCAAATAAAGCTTGCTTCTTTCAGAAATACAAAATAGCTCGACATTGTCGAGAAGAAATCGTCATTAATTATTACTGATGGGACTTGAACCTACAACTCAGAGATTAGTATTCACTTGTATCATGTACACCGGCTAGTAACTGTTATTTGGTTGGTTTTGATAATGCAATACATGTGCGAGTTCCTAAACATATACGAAGAGACGTTAATCTAACCGAGTAGAAACCACCGACTACTGAAGCACTCTAAAGAGATGATAAGCCGTCGATTATCAAACCACATATAATATAGTGGGATATAGCATAAATACATACTATTTTAATAATTTTTTATTTTAATGAGTAATAAGTTTAAAAAATTGCAAATTTATCTTTTAACGAATATACTGCTATAAATGGAAAAATAAGAATTGATTTTGAAATATATCTAAATAGAAAGATATTATATACAGTAAAATTTGGTTAAAAATCCACCCATCTCTTAAACTACCAATTTATGAAAAAAAAAAAATTACTTGCTACATACCCATTTGCGGCCACTAAGCGGCGAACTGTTCTTTGCTGCTCGAATGTTCGCCAATTTCACGCGCCAAATCCGATATCACCTCCTTATAGATCAATGGATCGATATTTTTGCCCAACTGATACAGCAGGAACCAATCACCGATATTACATTTATTTGCCACAGCTTCGACCTCATCGCTTTCGGCCAAACGGGAACGGGCACGCAACAACAAATGACGTAGTTTCGGTCCCATAATAACAGCCATACGATAAACCAATGAAATGCCGGACAGTATGCTCAAAATGATGAACCAGAACCACAGGAATACATAGATTTTCTCATTGACAATATTCAGTGGCAACACACAGAGACCGTCGAACTTTTGCACCGAACCAGATGGACCATATTTGTGGAATGTACATTTGGTGACTTTCGGAAAGACACGCGCCATCGGATCGACACGTTGATCCGGTTCCATTTCGGTGAATTTCAGCACATCACTGCCGTATGTAGAGAATTCACCATCCAAAAAAAAGTCCACAAAGAATATTTGACCAATAACATTGACGAAATTCAATGCTTCACAAACGAAGAAACGGAATGCATAAAAATTGTGACGTGTCAAATTGTTGGAGAAATATTCGACCAATATCTTTTTACGATCATTTTTACACTCCTCATTCACAATGGGACAATTCAAATCCATGACGAGCATTTTGAGGCGACCACCTTCCCATGATTTCCACAAATAGCGTGGCACATAGAACATAATGGCCTGGAAGAAGAGCACAAAACATACCCACTGATAGTATTTGTGATATTTCACCTCATCCTCGCCATCTATATGCGAACCGACGCCCGGTTGTACAACATCGCGTCCGGTAACGCCGGTCAAACGTTCCGGTACGGTGAATGTAGAGTAAATCCAGCAATATGTGTCCATGACGCCAAGTGGAATTTCATCGACAATACAATCGATGGGATCACCAATGTATTGACGCGAGGTGACAAGCAGCGAGAAGGCGATCAACATGATCACCGTCGCCTTGTAGTGCATGCGGAAGACATTGTTATCGATGCAGACTTGATCGATCTTCAGCAGCCCCTTGACGGAGCCGAATACATCAAACATTTTGACGCTTTATTGCTTATGTACACAACGCAAAGTTTTGAGAATATATAAAATGTTGTCCGTTACGACACGGGAATGTTGTTGCAAGTACGTGTGGGTATGTTACACGACAAAAAGGCAGTAGTTTTGTAGTAGGCGCTTGCAATGGTAATACTTTCGTTGCAATTTTTAGTACACGCTTGTGTTATTGTTGTTGTATTTTTGTTACTTTACTTTCCACGCAATTTTGCTTGCACGACGCATTAACGTTACCGCAGCTCGTTGCTTTATATACTTATTATGGCAGTGTCGATCAGCAGTTTGGTTCCACGCGCCCAAAAACACAGCTCTTTTCATTCAGAGTTTCATCATMATCATGTATTTGCCCTAAACAAATCGCAAAACATTTTCGCTTTTGCTCAAATTGTCACACAACACAAAACTGTTTACTTCACGATAAATTGCATGGCTTTACTTTTAATTTCTTTATTCGCTATTTTTTTATGTTACTCTTGATTTAACCTCGCGAATTTCCTTCGTCGGCACAAAGTAGTGACACGCACAGCGTTTTGTTTAGATTATTGAATGAAATATTCACTGAATATTATTGAAACTTTATTATGGCCGCTGTTGATTTACTATAAACATTCGCACACTTGCACTTCCAATACAAAGCGTCGTTCGTCGCCGAGGGGGGCCTGTCTGCCTGTCTGTTTGCGTGCCCCTGTTGTGTTGTTTGATTGGCTTGAGACACACTTGGTCCAACAACCGTATGTGTCTGTTCGTTTGAACACACTTTCTGTATGCTGTTTTTATGTAATTACGCCGTTGCACCGCGGCACAAAGCGTACACTTCGAATAGAAAATTAAAACTGTTTAGTAGATTGCGAGCACCAGCGGACGCTGATAGAAAGGCACGTCGAAAAAGACGTATGAAAAAGTACACATATAGGCGACAAGCGGCAGGCAGCATAACGCCGCGTTTCGTGGAGTTTTGAGTTGTTTGCCCGCCAATTGAGTGGCTTCTACGCGCTGCGGTTGTGTTGGTGTGCGCTGTGGTGTGAGTTAAGTCACACAGCTGACGACGAAACTCACTAACACATACGCACCGCCGTTTTGAACGCAATTGTGTGCATGTGTGTGTTTGTGGTTTGCTACCGTGCTCCGCTGTCGCTCTGAATTAAGCCCGTTTTGGTGTCAAAGAGCAGGCTGAGCTTAAAGTGCTCACCGCAGCAACGAGCTTATAAAAAAGCAAGGCGAGTGACTTACTTATTTGCTCAGCGTGCTCTATCTCACATTTTATTTAATTACGAATGGATGGACGGCATTTCGGCTTAAAAGATGCTCGCTTGAAAATGTATCTCGCAGCTGCAAACTCGTTTTTATACCAGTTTTGAGCTGAGTGCGTATTGGGAAAGGGTTTTTGTGATTATTGAGCGCGTTTTAACATCCCTGCTTCGCTGCAAGCTTCCTATATGTATCGGAAGATGCAAGCGTGTATGTATGTATGCTTGTGTGGCTTTTAAACAGTACCTGTGTAGCGAAGGTGTTGCAAGAACAGGATTTATTTGGAGTTGGTCTTACACATAAATACATGGTTTGAAAACCACAGCCCTGCCATGTGTTCGGGAGAATTGTAAATTCTAGTTTTTAGTTAATGCTGGCGAAGCAAAGAAAACTAATACAAATATATTTCGAAAAACAGCGTAAATTAAAATAAAAAAATGATGCAAATTTCGACATTTGTGTTTTTTTTATGGAATATTATAAAAACTTAATAAGCTAGGTAGTAAAAAAACTCCGCTGATATTAAAACATTAAAAAAGCTATGTCCTTAATACCGAAATGGTAATGAAAAGTTGAAAGATTTCTATAAAACAGCTTAAAAAAAAAAAAAAAAAACAAATAAGTAAATAGGTTTTGTGCTATAACTTGTTGGCATTTTGACAATAATTCTTTAAAGTTGATTTTCAAAATTCTTGATGTGAATTTATCATAAGCAAAATTATTCGCTAGTAGTCACTTGGGTCGAAGGCCTCCCAACCTAAGCTCCTGGATGCGATCAATTTCTTCAGACGGTCCATTAGCTCTCAGTACAGGTCTAAGTGACGAGATAGGCCGTAAGGGAGTAGGTTATAGCGGGGTTTTAAATAGGGTCGCTGTAAAAGTGGATCGATAGGGGCAGAAAACGACGTATTTATTTGCACTCTTTTGACATATCTCTTCAGTAAGGTATTGCTGCCGCTGGCGCATCAATTGAGGAAGACCCAAATCAGTCTTCAAGTGTTGGGTGTCTTTAAAAGATCAAATTGACACAATAACTGATACAATAAGCAAAAAATACGTTATTGATCAGAGAACAATACACACGTTCTCCATGAATCACCATTGAATCCCGAAAAAATTACAATTTGGTACGGTTTATTGGCCCATCGGTGTCATTGGGCCGTACTTCCACCATAATGATTAAGACCGGCACGTTACTGTAAACGGGGATCGCTACCGCTCAATGATAACCCAATATTTTTGGCCCGTTTTGGATGAGATGGACTTATATAATATGTAGTTCCAACAGGACGGCGCAAAAAGCCGCACAATGAATGTCACAATTGATTTATATAAAACCAAGTTTGGTCCTCGGTCCATGAGGTTTGCTTTATGTTAAATCGTGTGGATCCAATTAATAAACCTTCTGTATCCAGACTTCTCGGCAAACGAAGTAGCGCGTAAATGACGGGCTCTACAATTTACATGATTTTATCAATATTTTCTGCAATTGCCTTTTCAGGGTTTATTGGATCTTTGCGGAGCTTTTTCGCCTTTTATTATTTACTGGTGTCCAACTAAGAAACCTGCTTACACAATAATGAATGCAGCAATCTCAAAACGGTCCAAAAAGTTGTAAACAAAAACAACTTTCTTATAACGAAAATAACACCCAAAACATTTAATATTATATGAAAACAGTGGCAACCCATGAGAACCCATCTTCTTATCTTAATTATTATATATGTATTTTCTTTCAACTCACCAGCCACTTTACTGCGATGTCTGACGAAAGAGCTCATCTGCAAAGAGTTCCACTGCTTGCAGCATATCTTTCCGTATACATACACAGTACACATATGTATGTATATGAGTTAGTATGTAAGCAGGTATTCAAGTGGAAATATCTGTGATGCATTGAGTTGAAAAAATTCCTGGAAGTATGTTGCATGGACAGCAACAACAATGATAACAATATGCCACAGGTATAACCATATATAAATTGTTCTTCAACATGTGTGTGTTTTATAATATCAGAATCACAGTATTGGAATTGCAATTTTGCACATCGATCACTTGGTTTAGAAACATATGTGGTAAAACATAAACGGACATATCTGCGGTAATCATTCATTTGTTGTATTGCATTGTTTCCAAATATAAAATTTGATTTTTCTTCTTACAGATTTGTTCTTATTGCTCTAGTTTTCATTGAGAAACTAAAATAAGTTTGGGACATAAAAAGGGTAGTTTTGCTCAAAATCTCATGAAAGATAAACAGAAAATAAAACAAAAATCGGTTATTTGAAATTTGCACATAATTTCGGGTTTCAATAAATCGAATATTTTGATTGTCTTATTAAATTCTATAACACCTCTGGAATATTGTCTATATGTATTTTCAAAATGATCCAAACAATAGTTTCGGAGATAGAGCCCTGAAAACTTGTGAACTCGAAGCTAGCTGGGTGAAGTCCGCCATCTTGAAACGTGTTTTTCATGAAAATGTGTTTTTGAAGTGGGTTGACAAGATTTCTCAAGAACTACTAAAGCGATCTTCACTAAATTTTACACAAGTCTAAGAGTTACAATTCTTAAAGACTTGGACTAAGATTTTTTTTTTTGAGGACAACTATTTCAAAAAAATTTCGCAAAATTTTCGCTGAATTTTTAATTTTTTTGTAAAAACATCTGCCAAAAAACCCAATTTCCTGTTTTTTCCTGATCCTGTATGAAGATATCCTGCCAGAGCGGGCGAATCTTTTTTTCGAGCGGTCACCGGAAATGGCATCGCAATGCCCAAGTTTAAAATATTTTTTCAAAAAATGTCAGAGTTAACATTCACTGTTTGTAACAATAAAACATTCTAATGAAATATTTCATTTTTTATATAAGAAAAAAATTTGAAAAAGGCTGTTTATTACCCGAAGAAACGCATGAACCCCTTAAGGGAATAATGCAAAAGTTGTAGAACTTTTCATTACCTCCAACAATGGCACATAAAAATTTTTCATAGGATGAGTAGTTTTGGCAGAAATAGAAAGAAAATGGCTATAACCTATGAACATTAAACCACCTCTTTACTTTCCTCTTCTCGACGCACGGATCGCCCAGAAATTATTTTTCCTTTCATTTTTTATTATTTTATCTTCATTTCTCAATAGGTCTCAATCTATTGTGATTTTTTAACTTTTTACCATGTTGAAAGCCTTCAGACCATTCTTAAGGCTGGGTGAACCTTTCCATTAGAAAATATGTAAGTGCTTCTACACCAAAGCAGAATTCTGAATGATACAAAATGAGGTTTTCATAACAATTATGCATAATACTCGTAAATAATCGTCGTCATACCTGTTTGCATTCAAGCCAAACCATGCGAAGACATGAGATATAAATGAGTTTATTAAAGTAAATATTTTTGGGGAAAAATCAAGGTACTCATGCAATAGCTACGTACCATAAACTCATATGTGCTGGCCAGCAACGCTTTCACCGCTGCAACACCAATGACAACAAAGCGATATCAGTAGACGCATTTTGTGTAGACATTTGCTATTGTCTATTTGTTTCTCTCAACTTCTACTTGGTGTAGTTGTTGCCAAATGGGCGATCTACCTGAGAGTCAACTGATAATATTCACGTTTCATCTCAAAAGAAAGAAAACTGAAATATTTACATGTTTCTTCTTTCTTGTTCAAAGCTAATATATCTTTGTGTGTGTGTATATGTGTTTGTAAAAATACTTGCAAGGGCACAAGTAAGAACGGGCTCATTTGCTTGCATTCTTGCACTGTACTTTAACATACCAACACACCCGCTAAGAATTTTTGTACGAATGGTTGGGAAACATTTCGAAGCCAGTGTAGTACAAGGCACCGCAATCTTATAGTACTCTTTTATTATTGAACGAATTCTCCTTTACCACTAAATTTTCCTTGTTTACGGTATTAAATGTTAAATGTTAAATTAGAAAGATTGGAAGAAATATTCAAAAATATCTTCGAAATGTCTTATTTGAGACATAAATTTGACCAATTCTTTCAAACAAATCACCGCGCTAACCGGCGGTAGAGTGGGGTTGAACGCTCGCTTTCTTACGACTACCATCTTTACCATGCGCCGTGAATCAACGCCCACAGAAATAAGAGCTTCGGTGTGTTCTCTCTTTAATCACAACAACGACAGGTTATAAATAATATGTTTGGAAAATAAGTTCAAGAATAAACTTGACGTCGGAAAAACTCTCTATTTGAATTTTCGAAACAACTTTCACTATGGCTCTCTTCAAATTTCTAACTCTCGAAGACTCATTGGTTAGGTTAGATGGCTAATTCCTCAAAATAACTGAGGCACACACACACACACACATATTGCTCTGTACAGAAGAAAAACTGCTATAGCTGGACAAAACGCCTTGAACCTGTCAAAAATCTGCTTAGGTGCTTTTTTCTATTCCAACTATTTCACCTGGAGATCAAATCAATCTGGTATAACATCTGAGATGTTTTAACCTTGAACTGATAAAGAAAGGGCTTTCGAGGAAGTGTTGAGGTGAATATTTTTCCAAGCAGCGGATACAACTGGTATCCGGTAAAATTTTATATCTTATCTCATAGACAGGCATATAATAAATGACGTTTGCACCGCAACTTA